GAGAGAGAGAGAGAGAGAGAGAGAGAGAGAGAGAGAGAGAGAGAGAGAGAGAGAGAGAGAGAGACGCGCTGTTCGATCGCGTAATTTCACCGCGACAGAGAGTCGATCCGACGATGTTTCTTTGTGTCTCTCTCGGCTCCGTTGTGTGTTTCCATGAAATTGGACCAGCAACGCGCAACTGCCGTGTGTGATGCGGGAATCGCATACGTAAAATATACATACAACACACAACCGACGTGTATTCACAATTGATTCGTACTGTGTGTGTAACGTCGTATACCGCCGTTTCGTTTGTATACAATTGTCTATCGTGTCTATCGGTCGATGATTTCGATCGCGACGAAAGTGTCGACGACGACGTTTGTCGTCGTCGCTCGCGTGTCGATACGTGGCGTCACGCGCGCGTAAAGTCGAGAGTAATATCGCCGACTGTGAATTGTGATTTTATGCAAATATTATTCACGTGTATACATCCGAGTGTGCTATATATATGTGACGTTGCTCAGCATTAGCCCTCGGGGTATATTGCAACGTTCTCTCCAACGTGTGTGTGCGCGCGCGCGCTTACAACATTTCATCGGAAAACATACATACATGAGAGACTCGCCATACCGAAAATGCTTCTCGAAGAGATTCGTCAATCATTCAGCGCGACGCGATGAAAGGACACGCTGCTGTCACCAGTTATATGTACATACGTAACTAGATGGCAAGATTGCATCGCCGCATGATAATGCACTCTCGTTTCATCGAGTAAATATTGCCGATGTATACATACAAAAGATATACACACATACACGGGAACATGTACTGATCTTTCTATAAGGATTTATTAATATTTAGTTCTTACACACACACACACACACACACACACACACACGCAGAAAGTATATGTTATATAGTGTGATATATTAATTAAATAATTCTTTTTTAACAAGTACTTAGAGCCATCATATTGTTTGTATATGTACGCGTGTGTGTGTGTGTGTACGTACTTACGCGTGCGCACACACACACGCGTAATCATATACGAAGATTGCATGCGGAAAATCCGTATTGTGTTTCGTCATTACTAACGTTATTATAATAAAGCACATTAAATGCTTTAAATATAAGTATTACTGTTGTTACCGCTGTTATCGATATTGTTTTTTTCTCTGTTATTAATATTAAAAAAAAAAACATTTTTCTTCTGTTGCAGTGGAATGAAAGTGCCGTGTGAATGCGAATGCGTATTGAAAAGCGTGCGCTTCCTTCCTCTGTCCTCTGATCATTAAATTCCTCCATTCTTTGTCACACTTTGAAATCGCGTAAAGTTAAAAAAAAAGTCTCTTCTGTGTGAAGCGAACTCGTGCGCGAAATATCGCTCGTCCTTGCGGGAATCGTTTCCAAATCAAATTCGAGGTTTTTTTTTCAGTTCGTGAACGCGCCCGGTAGCGCGAACTAAAAAGTCAGTCGAAACGATGTCGGCTATCACAAGAAACCCAATGAATAAACGTTGTGAACGTTCCATCGCTTAGAGCGAGGGTGTGTCAATTTTTTAACGTATCGCGATCATTTTTCTTGCACGTTCCCGCAGCGGCGGCGTCGAGGGTTTTTCCTCGGCATCGTATAATATACGCGGTGAACAGAGCGCGCGTGTGTGCTTTCCAGCACCGCGAGAGTCGTGATAGATGATAACCGATTGAGACTTGCTTATTCCGTTTGGAGCCCGGGCGATTCATCTCACGTGTGCGGTGAACGGATCTCGACGAGGAAACGCGGTCTCGCGCGGAGATTGAACGGGATGTGCGAAATGTGGATAACGTCGCATTTCGATGTCGCTCTCGCAGAGTCGCCAGTTCTGTCGACCGGTATTATCGTGAATTCTATTTTCTTGTCGCGCTTGGCATAACTCAAACAGATTTTCTTTATCTAATTTTCTCCGGTCAGATGACTTTCTTTATTTCCGCGTATCATTGCCACGTTTACTCGTTTAAATTAAAAGAGACGCTGGCAAAGTCGCTGTCAGGTTCTATTTTTATCATTCGAGGCATTCGCGCGTCTGAGATGAGATCGATCGAGCGATATGATTTTTTTTTCGTGATTCTCAAAACGGTAATCTCAAATAATAATTTCGAGGACTATAAACATTATTTGTTTTCAATTACCGGCTGTAATATTTAACAAAAAAAAGTGTTGCACGGTGTAATGCGTAAAAAAAAAAAAGTATCTTTAACGGCGCTCGCACGCTGATTTTTATGTTGAAAAATTTCCTTGCTCGTTTCGTCTGTTTTATAATATCCGCATGACCTCTGACATTCACACAGTTTCGCTTGTAGAATTTCGCGATTCTTCTCAGGACAAAGGAAAATCTATTAAGTATGCGTCTTCGTCGTGTACTGTGCCTCCACCACGTCGTCGGCTTTGTTAATCGTAGCAGACCACGCGTTCGCGAGCGCGCGCGCGCGTATATTCTGGAAGTTTAGACCAAATATCTCTTCTTCTTTTCAGAAAGGTATCCGGCGGAGAATATAGCCCCGGTCGCGCAGAGCGCGCGTTGTGTGCTTTAAACGGGCATTATTAAAGTAATAGACTAGTTAGAACTTAATTGTTTCTAATTGGGTTGGCGAAATTTCATCGGGGGAAAAGCCGGGGACTCTACGAAAGAGACTCTGAGCAATCATGGGGAAGCAAAACAGCAAGCTGAAGCCGGAAGTGCTGGAGGATCTCAGACAGAGTACTGAATTCTCAGGTGCGTGCAGGTAATAAACAGTCGTAATCTTCTGATGTGCTATCGCGTGACAACGGTTGAGCTATTCTCTTGAAGCTGAGAACGAGTCTCTCTTTTACGCTCTCCTATCACACAAGCAACTTTCCCGAAGAACTATAACGAAAATGTACATAACAGCGTGTGTGCGGAGGATGTGATAAATCTTTGCTCATAGTACATCAGAAGGTTAACTATGCAACAAATGTTTGGCATGTGATAACACACACACACACACACACACACGTACATTATATATGGGTACATACAATAAATAATTCACAAAACTCAACATTTATTAATAAACATTATTACTATTCGTAATTACTAAGGGGTCGTTGTGCGAAAATACGCGTGAATGACGTGTGCGCGCGGACTAGGCGCAAGTAATATTTTATGGTCTCTCTCTCTTTTCCTCTTGAAGATACCGAGATCCAAGAGTGGTACAAAGGATTTCTAAAGGACTGCCCCTCCGGACATCTAAACGTGGAAGAGTTCAAGAAGATATACGGAAACTTCTTCCCTTACGGCGACGCGTCAAAGGTAAATGGGAAAAACCCCAGGATAAAAATAAACTCGCCGCGAGTATAGCGCCGGCGTGATCGATAAAATTATTTACATATCGCGTGCCACCGCGCGCGCGGCTAGAATTATTCACGTACTTTAAAAACTTTATCATGATTTCCTCTCCCTCAGTTCGCGGAGCACGTATTCAGGACGTTCGACGTGAACGGCGACGGCACAATCGACTTCCGTGAGTTTCTATGCGCCCTCAGTGTGACGTCCCGTGGCAAGTTGGAGCAGAAGTTACGATGGGCCTTTAGCATGTACGATCTGGATGGCAATGGCTACATCTCGCGACAGGAAATGCTGGAAATTGTAACGGTGAGTGTCAAGTCGTGCGAAATCTGTGCGACTTGCGATCTCAAAAAAAAAAAAAAATACATATACATATGTATGCGTATAAAATGATATGATTTACATTGTTTTCTATTTTGGAATATTTTATTCTATGATTAAAAATTTGGAATATTTTATTCTATGATTAAAAATTTAGAATTTTTCTTCTGATGTACAAGAGCACAAAGGTGACGTTACCTTTTTTTATTTTATTTTAATACAGTATGTAGGTAATTCAAGTAGCGCGAAATTTATGTATTTTATTCCTCGTCTCGTTGTGGAAATATTCTGCCGAGGTGTCGGTATACAAGTTATTCAAACGAAAACGCGACATGTGATTGAATTCACATCAGATTACCGTGTGTGATATTGCTGTGCGAGAAAACCGTACGCTTGAATGTGACCTATAGAGTTACCTACACAAAGAGAGAAAGAGAGAGAGTTCAGCGGCTATATTTTTCAATACAAAAAAGTAAATATATTATAAATTTTATTTCATTTTACAGTTTTTGCGCGCAATTTTGGAGAAACAATTGATGCACTTTGTTGCAATACGTAATTTCATTTTGTGTTTTTAAATAGTTTGTTTTATTATTTGTTAAATATCGATTTTAGGCGATCTACAAGATGGTGGGCTCTGTGATGAAGATGCCAGACGACGAGTCAACGCCGGAAAGACGAACCGACAAAATATTTCGTCAGATGGACAAAAATAAGGACGGCAAGCTATCGCTCGAAGAATTTATAGAGGGTGCAAAGAACGACCCGTCTATTGTTCGACTACTGCAGTGCGATCCTAGCGCACAGGCCCAGTGAGATCTGGTGATGCCAACACGAGAAAATGGTGCTATGTTATTCGCATAAAATCGGGATCCGGCCCAATTATAATAGTATCCCTCTCCCTAGCAGCAGTGAAACGCAATCGTAGAAAATTTTTTACATCTGGTAGTACCCAGTCAAGAAACTACCAGAAGACTTGTCCCATAGAATCTTTTTTTTTAGGTTTATGTGTTTGACTTAGTATACAACTAAATTTAGATGCATTAACATCAGAAACTTTTCTTGTGGGGACAAATAGTTTTACTAGAATGACTACATGCCTTATTTTTTTTTTTTTTTTTTTTTTTTTTTTTTAACTAGTTAAACTTGGGTAGCGATATTTTTCACGGTCAACGAGTATGTAATAAATTGACACTTTATATTTAATTGTTAAAACCGCCTTATAGAGAGCATTTTCGTGAATATTTTATATCGATATGTCAATGTGTAAAGAAAAAAATAACAGAACAGTTCGTAATTCTAGAATTAATCTATTCGCTCAAAACGTTGATATCTGTTGATATCGATATATAATAATAAGTTACGCGTTATCCATATTATCCAAAGATTAGAATCGACTTTAGTACGGGTTACATCTAGAGAACAAAGAGAACAAATTCGTACACTTACATATATTTTTCAACTAAGTTTTAATACAACTCCCATTTCCCGATAACAAAAAAAAAACAAAAAAAAACAAAAAAAAAAACGAAAAAAAAACGAAAAAAAGCAGAAAAAAGGCAGAAAGAGAGCAGTTTATATTCTGTCCTGACATGTTCCGTGCCAGATTAATTTTCAATGAAAATTAACTTTCCGTTTACGTCGTTTGGGTCGTTGATCTCTCTTATAATATTTTTAAAATTGCATTAACATGAAGATGTGATGTGTAAATTAAAAAACAAATACGCTACAGAGAAAACAAGAATTTAAGAAATTATTGTCAATATTTTGTAATAATGTTACATTTAATACATGTAGCAAAAAACATTTAAATGGCTTGAACGGAAAGGCTACACGGAATGTGTTAAGACGGGTCCTGCTGAACGCTTTATTTTTGGCAGGACATTCTACGATCGCGTGCATTACATGCGAACACACATGTGTGATAAGCAAGGGCTTCTATAAATTGGGCCGGTAACACCGAGAGAGATCCGGGGTCACTGGGCCCATGGCGCTTGCGCATATCGCAAGCTAGTCGGCAAGACTAGTCCAATCGCTCCATTTTGTGAAAATGGATCGATTTAGCGTGAAGCTTGTTACGTCCTTTCGGGTCGCGCTAATGCCCAGCTACGGTGCGCACGACGAACAACTCTCAAAAAGTCACATTTGCATTTTGAAAACAGAAGAAAAAGAAGAGTAGTCGATTTGCGTCGCTCGCAAGCGAACAGCTCTAGTCCGACGTCGCGTTAATCTTGTCAACAAACAAACAAAAAAAGAAACCAACCTTTGCGACCTTTGTTACGGTCACAAATGTCTTGCGAGACGATCAACGAAAGTTCAAGCACTTTGTACGAGCGAGATTTTAATGTTACACGTTACAAGGTATCCCTCGAATTGTCGTCTCACAGATATCCGTCTCGGATAGCGCACGTATCACTGCCATCGAGCAAAAGCTCCAAGGCGGTGTCCCACTCCTGGCTATCGTCGGCTTGTTCGGCTTGCGCATCCCTTACCTCATTATTCGATGTCTCCGAATCGGCATCATTGCCTTCGAAGACGCGGTATTATATATTCCCTCTCTCCCTTTCCCTTCCGCCCTTACGGACCCCGAGTGTCTCATTTTTTTTTTCGACTATTGTTAAGGACTGATTCTTTTAACGAAAAAAGACTCGCAAAAGATTCACATGTACACACGCGTTGGCGTCTTACTGCGTGCTAGCAACGAAATTTAGAGATCGATTTAGAAGATGAGTTTAGTTGAAGGAAAAACTGGCCGCGTAACGAGTGTGTGTTATGTCATAAATGCGTCGCTCCCTCGTCGAAGGTGCTGCGAGGAAAAAATACTCTTGATTGAATGTGCGGAAAAGATCGACCAGTCTTTCGTCTCGCTGTGACGCTTCGATTTATAATCATTTTAGTGATGAAATCACAAAAACCATTCGGTCCAATTGACAAGTGACGAAGTTTTACTTTTTATATCATTTTATTTTATAACTTTGACTCCCTGTAGCGTGATGTCGTTTTGTTACAGAGTACATTTATGAAAGTATATCAAGGATGTGAGGATAATCTTGTACTTGTATAGCGTAAAAATCTCAGCATCTTTTCACGATTCCTTTAACGGAAGTAAAACACATATTTGCCGATCGAGAGCGAACGGTCTTTCAGCTCAGAAAGTTTCGCGTTTGCTGAACAACCGATGGATATACAAAAAAGAAAACACAAAAAACATAAAAAAAGAGAAAATTTGCGCATGCAAATTTAGAAATGTACATTTAGAGATTTATTTTTATGAATACACACGCGTTCTCTGTACTGTAAAAGTATAAATATGCACATATATCCGTTTTGTCTCTCAGTCGCGATAAAAAAACAAAAAAAAAAAAAAAAAAAAAAAAAAAAAAAAAAAAAAAAAAATAAGAGAAGAGAAGTTTATCACCCCGTCGCGTTCACAATTTCCCGTTGATCGAACGTAACAATTATACATAAAAATGTATATTATATACAAATATATGACGCTGTATTACTAGTAAAAAAAAAAAAAAAAATGTAATAGCGGGAAAGATCGTGATTGAGTGAAATTTGCAACAAGCAGATTTCAACAATTCTATCGCTCTTGACGATTCGCTAGTTGGCTGCGCGATTGGATCGAGTACAATTGATTACGGAAGCATACGAACGATCTACGCTCCTATAGATATTTTTCAATATAGAACGAGAGTTGACTTCCGACACACAGAGTTCACATGTATAATTACTCTTTACACTTAAGAGATAAATCGTTTTATTAAGTTATTTTCAGTTTGTATATTTTTGCAGACTTACACATGTATATCGTAGTCTTTCTCTTTGTTTCTCTTCTTTTTCTTGTTTCTTCTTACTCGCTTTTTTATAAACAATATATATATCATTCGTTTCGCTATGTATTAGTTTGTCCGTTGACTGGTCACTTTTCGACTTTTAATCGATTAACCTTTGGAAGACATTTTCGTTGCACTGTGTGCGACTTTTCAACGAAGCACTCCCCGCAATCCAACGATGTTAAAAATAACACGACGGTATACAAATGAGTGCTGCAAAAAACAACAAAGTTCTGAATTTAGGTTTTTTTCCTAAGGACGTTGACACAATTGCACAAGACAGTATTTTTTTTTTTTTTTTTTTTTTTTTTTGCACAAGTGCGTTATATAGATGCAGATATATAAATGTTACATATATAAATATTTTACACACAAATTTCTAATATAATATATCTCTATTGTATCTTTCTAAGATGTATAATCTATTCACATCTCTCTCTGCTCATTAATATTAAGATTACTTTATAATATCTCTAATCTCACTATAATCTCGTTGTAAAAAAAAAACAATTAAATAACCTCATTAATATTAATATATATATGTATATACATTTGTACATATATATATTAATACACACAAAATATAGAGTTATATAAAATTAAGATTCTAAAGTTTGCTCTTAAACTTTTCACACACACGCGGATTGTATACTAATGCGGAAGTTGGTTGGTCTGTGACGAAACTGTTACATATACGGAGATAACAGTAAGAGAAGTTTTGAATTCACAAAAACAATAATATAAAAAAAATATAATAGTCGTTTTTATAAAAAGCAAAATTTACATAACAATTAATATAACGTAATACTGTTTGCAATATGCTTCGCCAAATTTCGAGGACGGTTACATCGGAGAGATGTATACGGTTAAGTGTGTATCTTAAAACTTGAGAGAGAGATAGAGAAAAGCAATACACGTATCTATATTATATATTACGAGAAAATGTAATGGTCGCGATTGTAAACAAAAAAATTGCACAACATAACAAACGAACCGATTGTCAATAGAAAAGGTGCAACTTGGTCCTCCTCCCGTATGACTTAACTACACTCAACGGTAGATTATTAATTAAAATTCTGAAACAGAAACGTATCACACACAAATAGAATTTCGCTTTCGTGTGATACGCAATCTACTACAAAATTTTATTACTAGCAAGTTATCGAAGTAAATACATATATATACTCTCTCATACATTACAATTATTCTAAGCACAAAACGACAATTTTCATTTCTTCTTATATACTTACACGTCGTCCTCTTCAAGTGTTTATCGCAAATTTAAGAAAAAAAGTCAAGCGAATATTTCTTGATCCCATCAGGGGAAAGAAAATCGATGCTTATAACGATATCGTAAGTGAGCGAAAACTCTTTATTGTACGTGCTGCGCAAAAATATTGCGAAAAATTACGTTATTTGAAATTTTCTGTTGCATCGACGTGAAACTGTAATGTAAATGAAGAAAGAAGAAGACGAGTCTGTCTCGCGGATCGAAACGCGGGAAAGAATGTTTCAAACTTTTGTCTGAACAAAAAAATCTTCATCGAGAAATGTTTACACGGTGTCTCCTCACTGAGATCTTTCTTTTCTTCTCCAATTTGCAACTTTGCATTTCGCACATTTGCTTCTAATGCAATACGGCGAGATACGGTACGGAAGAAATACGCGCTAAAGTGTGAAAACGAATACCCAACGTTTCTTCTCTCTTTCTTCTGGATTCCTTCGATTTCTTCTTGCAACAAAATCCTTTCCCTATTTTGGACGATTTAGCGTAATTGTTCGTTGTTTCATGGAAAGTTGCACGCATGAAACGCACAAAAATAGATTTTAAGAATTATATGTAAAATAACGCGCGTGAGGGAAGAAAAAAAGATTTCATGTTCGCGTTGAAGTGGAATGGAAACATTTATATTATTATCCCTAAATTAAAATTTTATATAGGAAGCTTTTAAATCAATAAGAATCGCTGGAGCGGTTCGTCGTCGTGTTATCGACAAATTTCGAGAAAAATGCATCGATCGCAAAAGAGAAAAAATGTTTCCTCGAAATCAAGATTATATATCACGATTTTAAATCTCAGTTTATTTATTTTCACTTATTTGCGACCTTATTATTATCGGAGAATAATTTTTTAAAAATATGACTTTTCTCTCTCGAGGCTTTTCTCTTGGATACTTGCTGCAGAGCTATTTTGGATGGATGATATCAGAAGCGAGAAAATATGGTTGCAATTTTTCTCGCACACAACGACGATATCCAGGTAACCGCCTGAGATCCAGCCAAAACAATCGCAGCGACTATCTCGAGAAGTCGCGGGATGTAAATGTGTTACATTGCGTATTAATTGCTCGTCGAAGAATAACTAGGCCTCTGTCAAGTTTTCAACAAATAGATATGTCCAACTGATCTTTGAAGAAGAAAAAAACTATAATATGTAGTTCTCTGTTTCTGTGCATCTCGCCAACACACGATGCCAGATTTACTTTCGCAAATTCTAATAAATAATTTTGTCCGAATTCATTTGAAGACACGTATAAGAGCACTTTACAAATTGTTTTAAATTTATTTGCGAAGCTAACGTGAGATTTGCGTGTCTCTGCTTCGTTCAGAATCTACGTCGCCCGTTCGATCAAAACGTTCGCTTCGCATGAGCTACGCGAGTTGAACGAAGATTCTACATAAAAAAAAAAAAAAAAAAAAAAAAAAAAGTTTAATATATTACGGAAGTTTATAATTAGATAATGTTATAAAAATTTCGGGGAAATCTGTTGTGCGATTGATTCTTCGTCTCTCTAAGTGTAGAAATTTGTAAATGTTTTGACGACAGAAACTTCAACTCTTCCCTGTACTGTATTCGATCTATATATATATATATATATGTTTTTTCGTGTTATTATAATTACATTACATCTCGATGTGTCTCTCTTACATCGTTTATGGAAAGAATCGCTGTGTGCTCTTCCGAAGAAATTTTCTCCTCTTTAGAATTCCGAAGTTTACGTCATCACTGAGATGTTTATAAAGGCATTCAGAGCTTCTATTCCTTTTATATATATATATATATCTTTATTATAATTTATTGTTTACTTTTAATATGTGGATTCTATTGATGCTTTACGCACGAAGTATATGACCTCTATATTGTCGTTGTATATTCGTTCTCTGTCGAAACAAAATTTTTGTGTCAAACTTTCGCATGACCACACATACACACGTGCGTAAACTGCATCCGCCTTCCAACACGTTGACGTTGGATTATACCTGCCGATATCGTGTTCGCTACAACAAATTTCGAATATCGTTAACACGCGAGAGACAAATAAATAATCAAAAATCGATAATTTCTCGTAAATGTAGCTCGTGGCTAATGCGAAAGTTCCATAAATTATACACATACATACACACATATATATATGTATATTGCTACAATGTTATTTGTACGAGTTCACAAATAATCGTTCGCTGATTGTTGACTTAATACTACAAAAACAAAAACAAAAAACCAAAAAACAAGAATATTATTAATTTTCTTTTTCCACATAAACAGAAGTGTGTTGCATATTTTGTGTGATATTCAAAGAACATCGTACAAAACGGAAGAAAAAGAAAAAAAATCAAAGCGCGTTTACTCTTATTATATATATGATATGTCTTCTATGTGTTCTGATATTTTTGCGACACAGTGGAACAGAGCGATAAGATATTAACATTGTGATGAGATCGTGAAATATTGTAAAACTCTTATTCGTTTTCTGCCTTATATACATATTTACCGTAAGTGATAATTATATATTATTATTAGTTGTGTCTATAGATATAAGAACAAAATCACACACACAACACTTATGTATCAATTAAAATTGCAACATATTAAAATGTTGGTATTAGTGTTGATATTTTTGTGTGCGTTAATTAACCAAATAAAAGAGAAGAGCATGGCAGAAGAAGCCAGAGCAAAACAAAAAAAAAGTAACATTGACTTAACTACAAAACACACATTGTAGATGGTCCCTGAAATTCAATTGTGCAAGTTAATTTAAAGAAATTATTGCGAAAGGTGAAATAATGAGTTCTTAAGTTTATCTCAACATTTGGTGTAAGTTCAATTGAGTGGCTTCTAAAAATATAACATTTTTTATCGTAATATAACTTTACTTCACTAAAAGGAAGTCTTTACTTTGTGCGAATTCAGCTATTCACAACACAATTAAAAAGTTTTCGTCTCAGAGAACGTGGATGTAATTAATAAATCAATAAAGATATTGAGCAAATTGAAACAAAACAGTTTAAATTAAGCACCTTTTTTTTCTTTTGATCGTATAAATTTTGTTTATGTGGTATATAGTATAAACAAATACCTAGTCTGAAAACTGACTCACCGTTTTCACCAATAGTGGCTGTTGTTTTTTTTTTTATTTCAGTGCAACACACACAAGTGTTGACAATGGTTAATAAGTTCGTCGTAATAAACCAATTGACCGAAAAAATGGACTTTTACCGGCATGCATATTTGATCGCGTGCCGATGTGCGAGAGTATCATCAAAATTAACCTGCAATTTTACCTCGTATTTTGATCGAAGAGAAAAAGAAGAATTCGAATTCTCTGACAGACTCTTCTGCAATCGACTTATGTCGATTATTAATTTGACTTGTCGTGGTTTTTGGGAATAGGACGAGAGGAGAGAAAACACAAAATATAGAAAAAAGTACTACATAACACAGCTTATAATTATCCTGCTAAACGGTTATCAATTCTATAAATTCTATATTGTTTACACATAAAGTATTAGAATAATATCTTAGACGTTTTTTCTCTCACGTCTTCTCATCAATGTTCTACGAGAGAAAATTGTACAATAAAGTAACAAATTTAAAGACATATGTATATATAAGCCATAGTTTTTTTGTTTTTGTTTTTTACGTACAATCTGATATTCAGTCTTTGCTGATGTTACTGTGTAATAACGTGCAAAAGAACTAATAAAAACTCTGTTATGTAAGAATTTTTACTCAAGTTATAAAGAAGAGCATAAAACTACTACTAATATTCAGCTAGATTTACACAAGATAATTGGTCTTTCTCTTCTCTTATGAAATCACGAAATTGTGATTATAATACAACTTTTCTACATTATTATTATTATTATTATTATTATTATTATTATTATTATTATTATATTATTATTATTATTATTATTATCACCACATCTAATTATCTCTTACTTTATATCTTATTTGTCGTAATACTTCTGAGAAACTGTTAATCCATTGTCTTGATAAACTCAATTGCGGAGCAGAATTGAGTCCACCAATATTGTTCCTCGCCCTCCAATCGATTCCCATAAAAGCTATCTACATATTGAACAGTTGACAGCAATGATGGTGGATTAGTCTGAAATTCAAGCGTATATAAGTTTAGATGTGTAATTGTCTCATTTCAAACAAACAGCATTACGTTTCCTTGTCCGAGTTGTTATCAAAAGTAATTTCTTCGGTTTAATGCACACCTTGATTATAACGTAGACTAGCACCGGAATCAAGTCGTCAGCAGCAGGTATTCCTCTCTCTGAAGCCATAGAGAGAAGATTCAAGATAGTGGTAGCGCAACGGAATACACACTGTAGCTTATCCCTAGGAGTCTTATACGCCGATATCACAGCCAATTCAGCCTGCGCCCACGGCCATGGGCACTCGTAATGATAGACCTTCGGAATGCGTAGGTCTTTATGATTCGGGGTTACGACTTTCGCCAACTTTTTGATGTGATCGTGAAAGAGTTGGTCCCGATTTACGTCACCGTCGCCGTTCGGATAGAGTGCGTTATGATACACCCGCGCCATAACAGTCCTCTCCACCACGACTCTCGCCAGATCTAACTGATTAGCGCTCGCCGCTAAAAAGTGAAAAGAAACATTTAAATATCCTTAATCGTTTGCTGTATTGTACGAGACAACGATAAGTAATAAGCAATTTTGTTTACATTGCCAGATTGGATCGTTGTCCATTTCAGCATGGACTTTTCCCAGAAAGCTGTTTACAAGATCTTGCTTCTCGTCGGCCAGAGTGAGCTTTTTAAATTCATCACAGAAACGCAAGAGGAAAGACTCTCTTTTTTCCAAAAATACTTTTACACAAACGGACACAAGATGATTGTTGATGGCATCTCGATCGCACTTAACTCGCTCACAAAGCCTTAAAAAAAAAAAAAAGATTATCAGTTTACTGTACACTTTGTGTAACTATTTTATTGTGTTACATGTGTATCTATAAATAAATAAATATACTACCTATCCAAGTGAGCTAATGTCGACAAAAGTCCCTGGCGACATCTGATTAAGTATGCAATATAAGGAGATCGCTTTTGATAGTCTTCACGTAGGGACTTGAAAAGTTTTCTACATCCGTCATCATTGAACAGTTGAACGCAGCGCAAAGTTTCATGAAGATGAGCTATCAATGCTCTGTCTTGCAAGTTTATAGCTTCTGCCAATTGTAATTGTAAAAACGCGACCAGCTCGTTCTCTTTCTGTGACCAACAATGCCTCTGAAGAAATACAAATTTCAACATTAAGTTCAAAAATGAATGCTTTACAAATATGTAAATATACGCGCACGAACAAACGAGAAATAAATTTAATAGATACCTCAGAGGTATTCCATGGAATGTGTTGAAGATCAGCAGTACTAAGTACCATACGTAATTTTCTCTTGGCATCCGCGAAAGCATAAGACAGTTCCACGTTATTCTGGTCGATTGAGAGTCTCTCATCCTCCACCTCTTTCGTGCGGGATAGATTGCTCTCGACAGAAGCTGTATCACTAGCTGCACTTGGTTTTCTCCTGTATTTTGCTAATATGTCATCAGTAGAGTCTGTGTAATTAAAATTATTGCATATAATTTGTATCAATCAGAATTTGCAATTGTTGTTGTTTCTTTAATAATCTTACCGCTCGCGACATTACTAGATGACGATACGTCTTCCGACATAATCCTACGAAGTCTATGCCTGCATATATCGACTCCGTCGCCACCAGCTTCTCGATCGTAGCATCTGTCGTCTGTCCCGCGGAGTGATTTGCCTCTACGATTTCTCAGCGATAGTTTAAGTTTACCGAAAAATCCCCGCTTATTCTTTTGATCGTCGTCCAGCAGTTCCTTATCGCCACGCTCGGCCGTCATGTCGAAACTTATGCTCTTTGGAATAGCTCCCGTTGACACATTTGGTTTGGAAAAGTTAGAACTCGACCCATCCACCGCGTCGCAATTGCCATTAATTGTCGGTGTCGGCAAATCCGACGCTGACGTGTTACTTTTAGTTCGCGGTTCCGATCCGGAACTACTGCTGGATGTTAAGCTGGCCGTACTTAAGCGGCCTACGGTATCGCCAACTGACGCCATACAGCCGTCCAATACCTAATTTTTGAATTAAGATCAATGATAAAAAAAGAGACGAATCGGCAAAGTAAGAGAAGAGAAATGCAAACCTCTGTCTTTCCGTCAATGTTCTTGGATTTATCCGGTAAAACAGGCGCAGAAATATGGTTGGCTAAGAGCAACGCCGGCGCAACTGCAGCCGCAACGATGTGATTATGCGCGGGTGGTTGACGTTCGGTTTGCTTAACGTTATCAATTTGAAACTTGTCTATCAAGTGGGCCAGCCTAACTTCCCGCAACGGTTTCCCGTAATCCGTAGTGTTTATGTTGTTAGCATTTTTATCTACATATTCCATTGTGCCGCGTCTATAATCGGGTTTAGTTCCACCTCCGACTTCTGTCGCGTTAGATGATGAGGGTGACGGAGATGTCGTCGGTGATGTTGGGATTGCCGCTGAACATCCAACGCTGGAATCCTCTCGAATTCCCGATGAAAAACTGACGTTCGAACTATCCGGACCTGCAATCACTAAATATATTGGCAAAGTAATTTGTTTAAAATTCCAAATAATTATTACGAGCATGACGCATATACACAACAATTTATTGTTAATAAAAACGCATTATATTTACATGGAGTGGCTGACTGAAGTGTTTCTTCGTTTCCTTCGGAATCAGCGCGACTTTCTACTTCAATCTCAGACCTGGCTGTATCGTCAGATCTATATCACAAATCACAAGTAGATAAATTGTAATGTTATTTATTAACAGACAACCAGTTAAAATGTGCGCGCACGTATATAATAACATATACCTGGCGACACTAGCAGTATCGTCAGTATCTACTTCAGTCAATCTTTCCGAGTCGCTAGCCAATACGTCTGTGCTCCAAGCCTCAGACGCGGTTTCACTAATATCCAACATATTTGGAGCAGACTCGGTAGGTAGAACAGGTGCAGCTTCAGGAGGAACAGGGAGTGATACTCGATCTTGCTGTTCGACTATTTCGCTGTCTGAAGCCAACACATCGGTAGACCAAGTATCAGATACCATAGACACAGTTTCGTCTCCTACAAAACAAGATGTGAATTTGTCACATAATATCACATTTACTAATAAAAAAAAAAAAAAAAAAAAAAACACAATATTGCTGACTTTATCACAAATGTAATAAAAATTATTGGTGCGCAGTTTGTGTTCGTCAATTTGCAATTACCTTCAATAAGTTTTTTAATTTCAAATTTGCAAAACTTGTCGTCAATTTCAGATCGACTTTGTTTAGTTGGAATAGTAGGTGGTGGCAAGTCCAATTGTCTCACTTCTCCCCCGGCACGTCCATCATCTCCTTCGGTAATTTGAGATGACGGCGTGTCTCGACCTATAAGCATGTGCGTGTAGAAATATACAGAAAATAAAAATAAAGTATTTAAAGGATTGCAATTTCAAATTACCTGATATATTGGGAGTTCCTCTTCCCGACACATTAGCAGATACCATGTCTGAGAGATTATCATTCTGATCCTCTGTCTCTAACTCCAGAGAAGAAGCGACACTGTGATTTGAAGCAGCTTCTGATACAGCTTCCAAATTATCGGATGTATTACCAATCGAGCCTTCGAACAATACTAATTACTGTTCATGTAGACGCGTTGCAAAAGTCACAAATACATTTAAGTTATATTTTGAATATTAAATCTGTTTTAATGCGTATTTTATAATTTTAAATACATACGCAAACTCACACATAAGCACTTCTACAAAGATACACACAAGAAAACAAACAAAAATTGTTTAGTAATTTTAAATTAAAGCATTATATTTAACAGTTAAAATTATAATTTTTGCTGAACTGCAACATAATTTTATAAGAACTTAATTTGAGTCTCATAATTGACAAAAAATTATTCCCGAAATCTGAATCCTTACAACTATCAGTGTTTAGAGTCAACAACAATGTACCTTCGTCATGCGACAGTGAGAATCGAGTTCTCTTTTCTTGCGTTTCAATATTGCGTTCTAAATTACTACCCTCTTGCCTGGTATGTTCAGTGGATGCATCATCGGGGAGATTCAATGTAACAGATCCATTCTCCATGCCATTTTCGAATTCCATGCGTAAAACCTTGAGACAAAATAAACCATTTCACTGAATAACTTTGATTGTTGTCGAGTTTAGATTTTCGCACTCTCGTACGAAAAACGTACTTTCTGTTCGCTGAGCAGTCCTACAGATTCTCCAATTGTCGGACCAAACGGTATGACTAGTACTTCTTGCGAATTCTTATCAGACGTCTCTTCTTCGGGACCACAAGTGCCATTAACTTCCTCTCCACTTTCATTTGTTACATTTGGCGAAAATGACGTACTCATTCTTATGCCACGTCCCTTACCTGTTATTATTTAAACGTTATTTTAATACAACGTGAATAAAGTGTCGTTATGCGAATACTCTATAACGTACCTTTTCCTGCGGTAACACCTCGTTTGGTAGGTGTTCCCAAGAATTCGTTACTCAATTTGTTATTATGCAGCGAGCCCGAAGGCAGTTGTGACAGCATCTCTTCTAATTGTTTTTTATCGAACATATTATGCGATATTGCTTCCTCATTGTTATTACTAACAATCGTATTCAAAAACATAATTAACGCATTTAATTCACTTTCCGTAAACAACGTTGCGGATCGTGACAGGCCTTGAAGTTTATTATTGTCAATAACTGTTGGTTCCTCCTCCTCTAATTCCTCCGTCGCACCATCTAACATCGAATCTATTATGGAAGACACTGAATCTTTCTCAAATCTCTTGTACAGATCGACGACTTTGTTATCGATACTTTGATATTTCTGCAGCGAAAGCATCTGCAAAATCTGTCCGACTTGCATCAGATTAAACCTTGCGATATAACTTATCGGCGCGTCGGTAATACCGTACGGTTCAGGATTAACTATGGCTGGACAAATAAAGTATGTGAATACAAGATCGGTGCATATAGCGTGCACTTCTTTTGGATCGACGTTTCCGTTCTTGCTCAAAAGTCCAGCCATTTTCCTCACAAGCCAGCTGATACTTGTAGGAAAACAGTGCATTGTTTCGCGAATATTAAGAATAAATCTTTGTGTAATACGATGCAAGGAGTTCACTGTCCACAGTCTGTAACGTTGCAGCTTCGCTTGATACTCAGGAGTGCCTTCTTTTCCAAATTTCTTCAATCTCTCAGCAGGTTCAAATCTGATCGGTGCCTTCTCCGGATCGATGTCCAGAAACATCTCATCCTCCATGAGCAATTGCACAATAGGATTGTGCAAAGCTGCCGTTAAGAAAAGCTTTGCAGAGAACAAACTTTCGTGAAAGATCGCGTACAATCTGGAAAACGCACACGTGCCGTGTCTGAGCAATCGTCGTGGATTATCAGATGGGATTATTTGCAGCAACATAAGATGCCTCAACAACTGGAGAACCAAACTTTTGTCCTCTGGTAAAATACAACTGCCGTATAATCCAGCAGCCAAGCATTGTATAATTGTTTGCATTGAGTCTGGAATGATTTTGTCTCCTTCCATTAAACATAGAGCAAGCAGTTTGGGTGATTTTCGCAGTGCACCTAAGAATTCTCCATAAGACAAACATGCTTGATAACGCAAATATTTGTATGCATCAATAAAATGTGAATTTTCCAAGGCATTTGCTCTTAGGCAACACGATGCCGGAGTGCAGTCTGGTCTTGCTAGTATCAAACGATTTAAATTGACTCTTTCTTGAGCAGTTACCCAGGCTTGTTGTGCTAATTGTGAGGACATGTACAAAACCTGAAAATAATATTCTATTTAAGAAGCTTGTTTAAAAGTAACGCAATATATAAATTACAGCTGTCCACATTTTTACACATTTTCTTTGTACAAATTACTGAGATCAATGTACAAACTATTTCTCATAAACGACACTCACCCGTTCATTAAGAGTTTGTAAGTTTTGCTGTTCAGAATTCACAAACAATCTCTCTTGTCGTAAATGACGAGCTAATTCCATTATATCCCACTGTAATGTTTTGTGAGAATCAATGCTGTTAATCGATGACATTGTTGGATGTATCCCTTCAAGACACAATAATATATTAAAATTGAATCTCTTTAAACACGAAATAAGAGAAAAGTGTAATCTGTGTGTAATTACTTGCGTACAATCTTGTCAGTTATCTTGAACAAGAACATGTAGAGACGTACTTCGAAAGTAGCTTCAGTAAACCGTCGAGCGTATGTTTTATTTCTCGAATTCAGAGACTCGCACACGGGAACATATTGTTGTTGTTTTATCGCCCACTCGCCGTGCGAGTGGATTTCAACTTAGGCAGAACGACGTTTCAGACGCTCAATCTCAACATTATTGCATAATTCATTAGCAAGTGAGCACACAGAAGTTTTCGCGACAATCGTAGGAACGTCACGGTTAAATGAGGTTTGCTGTTTCAAAATTATCTGGTTTAATTAATTTCAAACGAAATGCAAGTGCGCACGTACGCGCGCTGTTACTGATTATCACCAGTAAATTAGGCTCGATTCGCGTTATTATTGCGTTACGAATTTTATACGTCGAGAAGAATGACGTCCGAGATTCGCATTCGACTGTCGTCGCTCTCCTTTGTCACACTCCGAGCTCGCGAGTCGAACAACGCAACGAAGCACCGATTGCTCCAACACTTTACGCATTGACAACAATGACTGTACGGTTTATCTTTCTTTTATTCGACAAACAATATCCAGAATAACACCCCCAATGACACATGATCACTTCCTGTTGCAGAGGTTAGATTTTTTCTCGAGAAATGGCTGCAGATGTCACACTCGTATATATACATACACAGCAGACGCACAAGATCATGAGAGTCGATCGGTTTTACAGTCGGCTATTTTCGTCCGTAATTGAGCGCGTGTGTGTGCGTGTGTCTCTATATAACAGGGCCAGGACGATGTTTTCTCTTTTATCCGCTGTATGTTCTTATACTTGCGCAGCGTGTATATATATGTATTACTTTGACTATATAAACATGGACTGCTAGTCAGGAGATCTGACCGTAGACGACATTGAACAGCGCACTCTGAGTTTGGGCCAATAACTAATAGGTCGTCACGTGGTCCTTGCCAGTGTCACCAGCACGGTTGGGCACGTATCACGAAGTAAGAGTAAGGAGATCGAACTCCGTGATATAAAAGTGGTCCCGATTCTGACGCCTAATTGGGAGGGAATCCGCTCAAGGGAATAGTTTCTTACGGTTGGACGCCATTTGCAATTAGTAACGTAACCTAACTTTATCTGTCAGTT